ATTAATCATCTGTTTCTTATATTGAATTGAATATCGTTACTTGTATTTTATTTTTTTTGTTATATTTGAAACGTTGATAGAAAGTTAGAAACCATTAACTTTAAGTTTTGTAGTATTTTTTTTTGTCTAAATTTTTAATTGCTATTAAATATTACGTTAACTTTATAGTTTTTTTGGTAGTTACGGTATAATTTCAATGACATATATATAGGTTAGATAACTTCATGTTTCAAATTACAAAAACAAATCATTGTTTCTTACATTTGTTTTTCATAAAATAAGAATAATTCTGGTATATTTCAAGTGTAAGTAGATATGTCTAAATTTAGATCTCAGATTACTATGCTATTCATCGTTGTAGCTTTGGTGTATGCGTTTGTTCCGGTTTTGTCAGTCGAAGAAGCTGAAGCAAAATCATTATGGAATACTTGTCTTGTTAAAATCACTCCTAAGTGTGCTTTGGATATAATCGCTGTTGTCTTTGAAAATGGAACCATCTATGATCCTTGTTGCAACGATCTCGTCAAAGAAGGGAAAGTGTGTCACGATACGCTTATTAAATATATTGCAGATAAACCCATGTTAATTGCCCACGAAACCGAATACTTGAAGAAGAGTGATGACTTGTGGAATCATTGTGTCTCAATCTCCAAAAGTGCTTGAAATATGTATTGCTTGTACTATTTTTACCGAATAAATTGATATTTCTCTGTTTTTAGATTTTTCTTACCACAAATACTTATATTTTCACTTTACTACAATATTCACTAAAGAGAATTCTCTCTGAAAAAGAAGAACATAAACTTTCTATTTTTTATTTGAACTTTAAAAGAAAGTTTCCTATTAAGAATCGAAATATAATTTAAAAATTTAAATATTAAGAGTAGCTCTAAATAATATTGTGTGAATTTAAATTTTTGTATTTTAGAGTAATATGTTTTTGATAATTCAAAAACGTTTACCATTTTTTCTTAAAAGCATTTATAGAACATAATTTTTATAAACTCAAAAACAATTAATATACTTTCTTTATCTTTAGTCTTTAATTCAATAACCTTAAATCAAGACCTCATAAAAATAACCAAAACGTTTTCACGGAGATTTTTAATTCGACTTTCAATGTGAAAACGAAAACTTGAAGGGGTGAGACAAATTTGAATATGATATAAGATTAAATCCTTTGATTTTATAAATATTCATAGCAAAAATATGCATTTCCTAATGGATCTGTTAGTTCACATGTATCTAATTAGTGTTAAATCATATCTATTGATTGGTGATGAAAACTAGTAGTGATAAAAACTAGATAGAAATTTATATATCTTTTACCATTCAACTTGAATCTTTCGTTCATATATAAATTTTAAACATTTAATTAGATTCTACTTAGTATATTCTTAACATATCATAACAATGAGATCCTAATTATCTTGTACCTTTTGATATGTTAGGATTCATTTGTTTTGAAAAGATGGATGTTTCACCGTTTTGGGTTATTTGTTTCTATAAGTTTTTACTGATATGCAATTTTAAATGATATGTTTTTTAATATACTGTTATATAATAGCTATTGTTTAGTTATAATAGTTGATTCTTTTACATATAATCTATTAACAAAACTATATCTAATATTCTAAAACTATTTATTTGCTATTGTGGATCTCATATCAGCATATAAAAACTTTGAAAACCTTCGAATAAGTTGTATGTTGAATACACTTTTACTAACATTTATTAGTCATTTAGATTAAAAGTATTGTGAGAAAAATGATTTTTATCTAAATAAAATAATAGTTTTTAGATACAATGTGAGTTAGGCTTTTAAAATTTTCATAATTAATTATAATTATACTTATAAATAGTTAGTCCTTATGTGAGGACCCCTAGATTCCAGCTCAATTTCCGAGACAAGCAAAAAAGTAATGGGTCAATTGTTGATCCATCTTTAAAAGTTATCAATCTTATAGATAGTCGGTCAAATTTTTGGAATATTGATCTCCTATAGGTGATCTTTGATCTAGAAGATGTCGTACTAATAAGTGCCCTACCAGTGGGTGCGCCGCCAACTAAGGGAGATACTTTTGGTTGACATTTTACAAAATCCGGAAAATATACAGTTAAATCGGGTTATCATACCACACGGATAGAAAAATTGGAGACCGATGTCTCTTTTATGGGCCCAGACATCATACCGCTTAAAGCACATTCTTGGAAAGTGCAATGTCCACTAAGTTACGCCATTTTTTGTGGCAGATTTTAACGGGATGTGTACAGGTTACGACGAATTTGCGGAAAAGAGGGATTGATTGTGATATAGGATGTGTCCGATGTGGCGCACCAGAGGAAATGATCAATCACACACTCTTTCTGTGCCACCCGGCCCTACAGATTTGGGCGCTTTCACAGATTCCTACGGTCATGGGGATTTTTCCCGCAGATTCTATTTTTACGAAATTGGATCACTTATTTTGGAGGATACCTTTGGAATTTGACTCATCAGCTTTCCCTTGGATTATCTGGTATATCTAGAAAGCATGTAATGAAAAAAGTATTTGAAAATATAGACAATGACCCACTAGAGGTCTTACGCTTAGCGGAAAAAGAGGCACAATTGTGGCAATCAGCTCAAATAGAGCTTATTAATGAAAATCAAGGCTCTATGGATTTGGTGACTCGATCTCGAGTGAGGGATGCTTCACTTGAATCAAATTACTCGGGATACCGTTGTTTTGTGGATGGATCATGGAAAGGAAGTGATAAGTTCTCCGGTATAGGATGGTACTGTACATCATCAAGTGGAGAGCCGCCAACCATGGGAGCTGCCAACCTCCGTAGAAGTCAGTCTCCTCTACATACAGAAGTCGAGGCCCTTCTTTGGGCAATGAAGTGTATGATTGGTGCAGATAACCAAGAGGTAGCGTTCTATACAGACTGTTCAGACCTGGTGAAGATGGTGTCTTCCCCAACCGAATGGCCGGCGTTTTCAGTGTATTTGAAGAAGTTCCAGAGCGACAAGGAAGAATTCTCAACCTTTTCTTTATCTCTAATTTCTCGTAGTGCTAATGTAAAAGCAGATAATCTGGCACAAAAAATTCGTACGGAACCGCTTCATATTACATATGTAAACAACATTCCCCAGGAATGACTCTTTTGAGCGATAATTAATTTCGGATGACAAAAAAAAAAAAATAGTTAGTCCTTTTAATTTATTTGGCTTAAAACTAAATATGTACAATTTGAACCTCATACTCATTAATAATTTGGTTTAGGATATCCATATAAGATAAAATTAATCATCTGTTTCTTATATTGAATTGGATATCGTTATTTGTATTTAGTTTTTTTTGTTATATTTGAAACGTTGATAGAAACCATTAACTTTAAGTTTTGTAGTATTTTTTTTTTGTCAAAATTTTTAATTACCATTAAATATTACGTTAACTTTATAGTTTTTTTTATAGTTACGTTGTAATTTCAAAGACCTATATATAGGTTAGATAACTTCATGTTTCAAATAACAAATACAAATCATTGTTTCTTACATTTGTTTTTTCATAAAATAAGAGTAATTCTTGTATATTTCAAACGTCAGTAGATATGTCTAAATTTAGCTCTCAGATTACTACGCTATTCATCGTTGTAGCTTTGGTGTGTACGTTTGTTCCGGTTTTCTCAGTCGAAGAAACTGAAGCAAAATCATTATGGAATACTTGTCTTGTTAAAATCACTCCTAAGTGTGCGTTGGATATAATCGGTGTTGTCTTTGAAAATGGAACTATCTCTGATCCTTGTTGCAACGATCTCGTCAAAGAAGGGAAAGTATGTCACGATACGCTTATTAAATATATTGCAGATAAACCCATGTTAATTGCCCACGAAACAGAATACTTGAAGAAGAGTGATGACTTGTGGAATCATTGTGTCTCAATCTCGAAAAGTGCTTGAAATATGTATTGCTTGTACTATTTTTACCGAATAAATTGATATTTCTTTGTTGTTACAGTATTTACAATAGTAACCAAAACCAATAGCTCTCTCAAAAAGAATAACTTAAATTTGTGATTTTTTTTTGAAGCTAAAAACACAAGTTTTCCATAAGAGTGGAATAATAATCCAAAATGATTAATAGATCAAGGTCGGAAACACCACGCCCCAGCACATTACTTATCCAACCATCTACACGAACTGAATCAACCTCAGTTAAACACTTGAGGGAGCATTTCTTAATGGGAAAATCTATGAAGCTCTGTATAATTTCGGGCCTATCCCGCTTATCTTCTTCTGGATGAAGAAAGACAGAGTCATCAATGTAGAGATAAGGGGCAAATGCAAGAAGAAAAATTAGGAGCATGATCAAACTAGCTAGGCTCCCAAAATTCTGAGTAAGCATCCGGGAAGATTCTAGCCCAATTTTCATTAATAAAAACATGATCAATTCGCTTAGAGACAGGGTCTTCCTCCCTTTTCAATCTTACCTATTATCTTCTTCTTTTTTTTCCTATTGAATATTTTAAAATATGACATTTTAATTATTGGAACACAAGATTGGACAGCGGACCATCGCACTACTTGCCCTCCCACCTTACCCGCCATGTACTCATATCGGTTTTAATTGCTATATCCCAAACAGTATGACGGTATGGTGAATCTTTAAGCGCTACAGTATGACGGTATGGCGAATCAAAATCTCATTATACAACCGGTTCTATCTTCTTCTTTTTTGCACCACTAAAAAACTAACCTCAAACAATGTATTCATGATGTCGTCTGTGGCTAATTAAGAGGATAGAATGATGAATATTGTTAGCTATAACCTTGCCGGAAAATGGTTTCACGATGTTGATGTTTTACACATCTGAGTGGTTCTCCTCGTTAAACTAAAACTAGACAAAAACTATTCTTTTGCTGTTCAAATATGGATTTCTAAATTGCTACAATTGACACATCCAAATCTTAAACCGAATCCCAAATTCATTATAAAAAAAGAGAAAGAAAAAACCAAAATGGAATATTTGGGTGAACAAAAAAGTGTCTAATACATAAAACAACAAACATGATCCAACATCTCTTTTGGGTTGCGACTAAAAGGGAAGAGGAACATGAAAAAACCTCATCTCGCTTGAAAGTAGTCTAACAAAACTTCCTAGTGAGATAAAACAAGTTCCATCCCATAAAATTAAGGAGACCAAAGATTTGTCCTAAAAACCAAATGTACAATGAGAACTGAAGCCCAAAAGTGTATAAACATATCCAACTTCTTCCTCTCAGTCCTCAATTGTCTGAATCTCTCCCATCATGATCCTGTTACTAACCACATTAAATCCCAGAACCGATGCGCTTAAGCTTACCTTCTTCCCTTTCTTTGCCTTTTTCTTTCCTCCAACTTTCGAGAACCCGTCATTTGCAGCTGTAGTGTTATAGTAATAGTCATCGCCTGTGTTGTTTCGGGTCCCGACTCCTGAGCCCTTTGATTGAAATGCAATCTCAACTACCTCTGATGGTAACAGGTCTTTGTAGTTGAGAAATTTGTCGATGAACTTGTGGTCAGGATCACGCGACCCCAGATTTTCTATCAGAAGAGTTTCAGCTTCTGATCGGGATAGCTTTAGACAAAATTCCAAGACACTTGTATCTAGCAAAATAGATACACATCACATCAAAACAGAATAAATGTTTGATCGAAATGAAAGAGAGGATGTTCACGTTCTATATGATCTTCAATCTGTCCCAACTAGGTTACAAGAAAATTAAAAAGAGAGTGCTTAGGGCAGATCACCCTGAGCTCACAGAAAATGAGATAAACTTGGAACGACCAAAAACAAAATGAAAACCACAGTGAAATATGAACTTTTTACCTTCGGAACCAAGAAGTCTGAGGCATTCGCTTTTGCACCAATCTCTGAAGCCATTCGCCTCTGGAAAACCACAGACACATGAGAAAAACAAGCAAATAGTTTTGGACAGACAGAGCGAGCATCAGTGAAAAGCATACCTGTGAGTTTTGTCACTGCCTCCTTTTTCCCTTTTTGTGACGCCTGAGTGACAACAGGTGAAGACAAAACCCGATCTGCAGATCCCGTTGAAACTGATTTCTGTCGATTCAGTGAAGTTCCTGCATTAACTTTCCCAGGAGTGTTTTTGGTTCCCCAACTGTTTTGACTTGTAAGATGAGGAAAGTCTCCCCTGCTCGAAAAGAACTCTCAGTTAGTCGATTCTTTCAACAAATCTAAGGCGATAATAAAATGCAAACTCATTTAGCATGTACAAACTACAAATTATAAGGGAAAGCTGCTCCTTCAATATATTTAGTAACACAACATCAGATATGACGATTAGGGAACTCAAGGAACAAGAGATGGGTTCATACTGCTTTGTTTCCTGGGTTGATTGCTCAACTGGACCCCAGAAAAGGTCATCATCTCCTTTGGATTTTGACTGGGAAGAAGACTGAGAAACAGCCTGTGAAGGGGAAGATGCAGAACGCGACCAGGAAGCACCGCCCTGATGAACCTGAGGTGGAGTAGCTTTCTGCGTGGTAGGTACTGGACTAGGGGGTGGATGAGATGAGGTCGTCATCTTCTCCTGCTCCCTCACGATGTCCCTAAGCGAGCTAGGTTTTGTGGATTTTTTCGGACCAGTAGACCATGCAGCAGCCGGTGGAGGATTGTTTACAGTCTCTCCTTTCCAGAGAACAAAATCTCCCAGAGAAGGCCCAGAAGGAATAGCAGGCAAAACTTCCTTCTCCTGCTGCTGTATAACACGAGAACTTTTTCCCTTCTCAACAGAGTTGGTTTGGAAGGATGTATCTACAGTAGGAACATGTGCAGCAACTTTCGCCCCAGAATTCTTTGCTCTCGCAGATTTCTTGCGGCTCTTTTTTGTTTCCTTAGCCTCAATAAAGTTATCATCATCAAACGACTCTGCATTAGTGGTCGTGACTTGCATGAATGCGTCATTTTTAGAGACGGTTTCCATTACTTCCCTCTCTTTGTCACTGGATTTGGCAAAAACATCATCAGCCAGCAAGTCATGCAAGTGGCTTTTCTTAGCCTTAAGAGCAGGAACACTTTCAGGCTTTACAACACCGGTTTGAGTAATAGCCAACTCTCCATGAGTCTCCCTTAGTATGTTAGGATCTGAATTGGCAACAATCCCAGCCCAAGGAGCTGCCGAACCCACTGAACTCACAGTTGTAGAAATCTTTGGAGCTAAAGCTTCTGCTTGTGCTACCCTCTGTTCTTCCATTTGAATTTCTAGCAATGACTTTGGTTTAAAGCCAGGAGCAGGCTTCCAAGCTCGTCCTGGTTGTGTTCGTGTGTTTTGCAGTGAAGACTCTTCTCCCCTGACTGAATCGGCTTCAGAACTCATTTGGGAGGTGACTGAAGCTGTGGCTGTGGAGCTCTTAATGGGGCGAGTATCATTGTCTATCAAAGTGTCAGCCGACTTTTTAGTTTTACCCTTTATCTCAGAATCATCAGCACTTCCTGGTTCAAGTTGCTTTGTCTCCTGCAGAGAAGCTTTAGAAGTTGTCTTAGCCAGTTCAGCAGACTGCTTAGCCCGCTGCTTCCTGGACTTCTTCTCAGAAGTCTTCCGTCCTACAGAAACTTCATTGTTTTTAACTTCAATTGCAGGAATCTCCCCAGATAACTCATTACTGATATCTCCCTGTCCAGCATACATGTCCTTAGCCTGCTCCTCCAGCAACTTACTTTCAGATATTTCGGGAGCTATTGTAGTAGAAGTGGAGCTTTCATTGTTTGGACAGCTCACAGGTTCTTCCACATTATGTGTAGCATGATAGCCAGGAGAGAGGACAGGCTTTTCTGAGTACAAGCTGTTCATGTAGTCTGCAGAAATTGTTCTTTCATATTCTGATTTTGAATCTTTTTTATGGGTATGATCAGTTTGATCAGCCAGAACCATCCCCTCATTCATCCTAGGGTCAACATTACCAAACAGCTGGTTTTGCAGATGCAGAGAGGGGGTTTCGAAAGAAGCAACAGTCTGATTAGTGGCATGTGTTACTGGGAGCAGATCAGCTAAGTTGACACCTCGCTCCTCACGGGAAACAGGAACCTGCATCTGCTGATTGACTTGTGACATATCTTTTGATGGTTGCAGCCTAAGCGCATCAAGAGACGCCTGCAAATGACCATAAGATGGCTCTCCAAACCGTTGCTGAGAACGCTGTTGATCAGCAAGAACCTGGGAAAACAGCTGCTGTTGCTGTCTTAACAACTGCTGCTGCTCTTCTTGTTTATGTTGGTGTTTAAGCAAGAGCATCTTTTCCACCAATAGACGCTGATGTTGGGCAGAAAGTGGTGTCTGAGAATTCAACTGCAACAAGAGCTGTTGCTGCTGCAACAGATTGAGCGATTGATGTTCTTGAGAGAGTCCAGCGGAGAGTATCATATCAGGAGATAACATGCCACCTGGATTATTTTCAATAGGTTGACCAAGTAAACCTGCCAAAGGTAAGTTCTGCTCTGGCAGTCTCTGCTGTTGGACCCCAAAGGGAGTTTGCGTTTGGAAACTTTTGGCATGGTGCAAATCACTTTCCTTTTGAATGGATTGTGACCAAGCAGGAGGAGGACCACTAACAGCAGGAGAAGACCTATCCGTTACACCTTGGAGGATGGACAACAAATCAGAACTTGGAGAACGGGCTGGTTGTTGAGCATTTTCTGACACATTCTCTGATCCTGGCATCAGGTTTGCAGATTCCCTACCAGGCCAATATGAATACGGACTAGGTATTGATCTCTGCCGCTCAAGTTCCAATTTCTTGGCCAAGAGATACATGTCTGCCCCACCATCAGTAACTGGTAAAGACAACCCACCAGAACTATTTACTCCATATCCTTGAACGCCTGCAGACACAACATAAAAACAGAGAAAGTAAATAAAGTTGCTGGTCCTGAACAATAAATTTTCTTAAAACACATCAAATGGCTAACGCTAGGACTACCTTGAGCTGGATTGTTCAAACCCCCAGACATCAATGATTCAATAAACCGATTCTCCGCTACAGTTCCTGCAACATGCTTATACCTCATATCATTTTGTAACAGATCAGCCTCACCCATCCCAGAATGAACTTTCCCCACACCAGGGAAGGCTGATGTACCAGCTGCATCAACAAATTCGTTTTGCTTGGCACCAGTAAAACCAGGTGGTGGACCCGACTTAGCCCGCAAATGTGGCATTACATCACCAAGTAATGAAAAAGGAGATTCATTTGGTGCACTTGCAAGACGAACTAGCAAATCTATGCCAAAATACCCAGCCTCAAACCATCCAATGATATCAGATCCAGAAAAAGGGCCTTGAATTAAACCCTGAGGATCTTTATAATAGAGTGTAAGTTCTTCAGGCGAAGATGGCAGAAGCTTTCTAACTTCCTGCTCCCTGTCGAACACCAGAGACGGCTGCCTTCTAAGTGCAGGATCTTCACTGATTTGCCATCTGGACTCACCTTTGGACTGTGGCAACATCATATTATTGCCGCCTAAATGATTTATTGGATCTTTAGGATGCGACCAGACGCTGTCAGAAGATTTCAGCCTGCTATCAGCAGAAGGGTCGTTCCAATCATGTGAGTTCCTATTCGATCTTTCCCCCGCAGAAGGCTGACGCCATGGAGAGGCAGATTGAACATGAGAATTTCCCTGCATACTGGGTTCTTTCAATTCTCTGACAGGTACCTCATTGCCTCTCCTAAAAGGTGCATAACCTTCATGAGAAGCTGCAAAATGACAGAAACCATATTGTGAAAGGCGAATAGGGACAGAGGAAGAACTGGCATATCATTCAGAACAAATCTTAGCATTTCAGCTTTGACAACACTGCTCAAAAATATTAACGACTATGAGTTAATTTCGATAACCATAGAAATGAACATGCACTCGATTCCAATATCAGCTATTTCCTACAGCACCAACATGAGTCAACAAAGCTGCATGAAGGCCACAATATGTCAATGCATACCTTCAGGCCTAAACTTATCATCTGGATAGTTCCTTGTTTCTCCACTTTCATCTTTAGACTCCTCAGCACCGAATGTCATATCTTCTCTGCTTCCAGCTGCAACGAAGCATTCACAAAATTTACCATTTATGTCGTATGCACAAAACAATAGAAGCCTGGATGTCTTTCACAGAATTCTTACCAGGCCTGATTCGTCTAGGTTGTGAAAACTCGACTGGATTTCGGCCACTAGGGCCATCCTTGGTCGTCTGAGGGGCACCACTGCTTACTATTTTTCCTTTCTCAATCGCATCCAGAACATTCTGCGAGTAAAAACAAGGATATAAAGATCAGAACTGAGATACCAGAGGGAGAACAAAAAACATCAACTAAACTATGACTACACACCACTTCATCAGAACTCGGAGCGCAAAGAGCCAGAGGGTCTGTTGGCTGTTCAGACGTAAGGGAAGGCACCTCAATAAACCCATCCGGAAACTTTTCATAACACTCTGTGTCAGCCATCCTGTACACATCCAACAGTTTCATTCTGCTATATCTCAGATGGGGAGTTTCTCCGGGACCACTTTCCCCCTTGTCAGAGGCAGATCCTGGGGGATGAGACTGGTTTGATGCACTAGTAAAAAGGCTTCCACCAGGACTCAACCTTCCACGTCCAGCTGAAAAGATAGAAGTGTTCTCTCCACGCCCCCTGCTGTGAGAGAAGGGTGTAACCTGCTTGTTTGGTGTTGATTGGCTGTGAAGAGCTTCTCCTCTTCCTCGACCTTGAGAGGGTCTCCAGGGCCGGTAATGGTCTCCATCACCAGTAGGAAGAGATGGACCCTTCTCACGAATGATTTCACCGTCCTTACCAGGTTCATCCCACCTATTACGCGGAATCTCAGTTTCCTTATCATCAGGTCCCCAGCGAGAGTTCCACTTGCTCTCACGCCGCTGCTCTGGTGCAGCATCCTTGTTTCCTGAATCAGTCCACCGGTCATTCGGACCACGTCGTGGTTCCCCAAATTTAGGTGCCACATTATCCCACCGGTCCACCTTCTTATTATCACCAGAGTCTTTGTCACCATTCCGCCAGCGGTCTTTTCGGACTGAAGACAAGGTATCCCTTTCCTCATCACGCCAACGATCACGACGACCACTTTCTGCATCAAGCAAGGATGGCCGAAAAACATCTTTTTTCTTCAGATTATCCGGTGTCTCCTCCCCATTCCCTGTTGGTCTCACAACATCCGAATGGTTTCCATACTGATTAGGATCCTGTAAATGTCAAACCAGGTCACATATTAAGAAATCAAAAATAAGCAAACGCTCACACAAGCAAATATAAACATACCCCAGTTCCCATTCCAGTCTTGTTCTCCCCTGGTTTGGAGAGAAGCCACTGCGGTGAAAGAGGAATCGCATTGTCAGAACCCTGGATATCTGCACATACAAGGCCACAATGTCACTCTAATCCTCTAGCAAAGACACAGTAAAAGAATCAGCTTTTGGTATCTACACAAGCAAAATCATCGAGCAATGAACACAATGAACTACAAAAAAACGTCTCACATCTAGTGGATCTACAACAATACTAAACAACAACCAAATTGATAACAAGCATACACAGAGCTCATGGTACCATTAAAAAATCAATGCTTTCAACTATTCCAAACATTTAAAAAAAAAACGATTTCAGTCCTAAAATTAAAACCCCAAGAGCTAAAAACTGGTAATGTTATCGAAAGCGATCCAAAGACACCAAAAACCCTAATTTAGAGACTTATAATAAACTCTGTTAACGCTAATTCAATCTCCGATTAAGCATCGGGGAAGAGAAGAGCTATAATAACACTGAAAAATTAGGATTGTGTTCGAGTCTACGTAATGAGAAAGACTCGAAACACAATCCTTAATCATCGGGAGAGAAGAAGAAGAAAAAACGATTGAAAAACGGCGAAATACCTTTGAAGATCTGGTGCGGTGGATTGACGGAGAGGTGCTTGTTGCGGTGGTCTTCGGCGGAGCCAGCGGAAGAGTTAGCCATGGATTGATCGGTTTCGAAGTTACAGAGTTACAAAGAGAGAGAGAGAAAGATGAAGCGACGAAGAAGAGAGAGAGCGAGAGCGATTACGGTGAAGAGGAACGTAGGTTTAAAAGAGAGGAACGACTAAAACACGGCGTAGGTTAAGCTACTATTTCATATCCAGCGTATTTTAGCATTCACCATCTCTTTTGGTTAGCTATTAAAAAAAATTAAAATCTTTCTCATTTTTTTTCTTTAGGGTTAGACAGTTTCCCCATGATTATCCACTTTGTGTCTGGACGCACGCGCTTTCTAAGCGCGTTTAGCTTACTTGTCTTTGAGTATTAGAATCGCGTGTAATTTACGCGCTGGACAGTGAGCGCGTGGAGTGTACTTACTTGTTTTTGTTGTCTCGCTCACAATTTCTTTTTTTACCGAGTCTATTACATGAACCTTGCTACGAAATAACACTAAACCGGGAATTAAAGAAGCAGAGCAGGACGGTCTATGCCAATAGAGTTGCTACGAAAGAACACTAAACCGGAAATGATGATGGTTTTGGATTGGGTTTTGACTTTTTAGACTGTTTGTGTCTTGATACACCATTTTTGCCCAAAAAAAAAAAAAAAAGATACACCACATGCGTTTGGGCGTATCTACGTCAACATGTGTGGTTTGTAAAAGGTCACGAAATTTACTTCTAGGTTCCTTTTAAAATACAATTGATAACCATAAAACACAAAAAAAAAAAAAAAAATTATCGTTTTAATATATGATTGTTGTGTCAAAAATAATAATAACTAGAATTTAACCCGCGGTACACCGCGGGGCTATATTTAAAAAAAAAATGTAATGTTATTTTTAAATGTATTTTTAGTGTATGATTACAATCGTTTAGGTTTCAATTTTAAATGTATTTTAAATGTAGATATCTATCTATGTATTATTTAGTGTATGATTACAATCGTTTAGGTTTCAATTTTTTAAGTATAGATACGAAAACATACACTTTTTTTAAGTAATGATGTATGGTGGATTTTAAAATTTTGAAAATTTTACTTCGCAGTATACCGTGGGTCGGTTTTTTTATAACTAAAATTTTTAAATTATAAGTTGTATTTGTTTTGTTAATATTGTTTCTTTTGTTTTGTGTTTAAGATTGTATAATTGTATTTTGATTGTTAATTTTAAGATTTCATCCGTGATATACCGTTATTCATTAATATCGACCCAAACCCGCATCCCATATAAACCCGTCTATATTATCTCGTTAGCTAAATTATTAGTTTTATAAAATACAAGAAAATAAATTATTATTGTTATAAAATCCAATAATTTTAGGATCTCACCCGTGGTATACCGTTCTTTGAATGATTTTAAATTTATACTACTAATATATATTTTAAATTTATCATATAAAGTATATGATTTCAAGTTTTTGTGTTTTTTTTATTTAAATAAAGTAACGGCTTAAATGATGATAGATATAGTTCTTTTTCTTGTATGTGTATATGATTTTTCTATGTGAATATTTTGATTATTATAAATTAGTATTTTTATTGCTATGAAAATGTTAATATAAATTTTTTCTATAAATGTTTTTTGAAGATATATGGAAAGATTGTGTAGAAATTTTTAGAAACAAATTAGGCAAGATATTGTTTGGTTAATATATTTTATTTAAATTTTGTAAAATTAAATAATAAATACTAATGGCATGGACTCGTAAATAAGGTGGAACTCCAGGATTTATTTACTAAAAGTGTTCCAAAAATGTATATATAGATAATAATAATATGTATGATTGTGTAACGGTTTAGAAAGAATGTGAATATAAGCGATTAGAGAGAATGTGGTTGATTTAAAACGATTATATGAACATTGTTATCATTGATCACAAACAGGTAAATAGTTATTAAAACTTAAAAATAATGATTTATGTAATAAAATGATTTATGAAAATATTATGGAAAGACATGTCTTTTTATTATAAATTTTCGTGTTGTATTTTTTTTTTTTTTTTTGGTGAGGTGTGTTGTATTTTCTTACATATAGACAAGGTCGTTAATACTCCTAAAAACCTATATCTAGTTTTTTCATTTACTCAAGATTTTAGAAAAAAATATAACAAAATAAAATAATTACGAATATAAATTATAATATTGAAATTTAATTATATGAAAATAAACTATTAATTAATTTAAATTTATTACCAATAATAACTACCTCAAAAAAAATTTAAAAAAATCAACAATTCAAAAAAATTGACAATGTAATAAATCATTTACCCAAATACAGGTCGACTATTTTAGTATAAGTCAATAGAAAATAAAATTAAGTCGACAAACAAAAAATAATTGGTCAACAATTCAAAAAGTTAACTATGTAAAAAATCGATGAACCAAAATATAAGGCAACAAATGTAAAATAAGTAGGTGGGTAAAAAACGAGTCAACAAAAATAAAATATAAGTCGACAGTTCAAAAATCGACCCTTTTAATAAGTCAATGTTAAAAAAGAATTCTACAAACAATAAATTAATTGGTGGAAAAGAATTGTAATCGACAATATTAAATAAGTAACCAACAGTTCAAAAGTAGAACATGTAAAAAATCAACCAACCAAAATATAAGTCGATTGTTTTAAAATAAATCACTGGAGCAAAAATTAGCCGTAAGTAATGAAATATGGATCGCCAGTTCAAAAAATCATGCTTTTTAATAAGTCCACACTGAATTACATAATTTTAGTATGAAAAAATCAGTCGACAAAAAAATGATTAAAAATCGATTTACAATAAAATAAGTCAATAATTCAAAACAATCAACTATGTCAAGTAGTTTGAAGTTAATATTAATTTTAAATTATTTATTTTATAATAATTCGCCAAGTTAAATTATATCATTAAAATAATGTTTATAGCATTATTTATTTAAAATTTTAAAGAATGATTATTACTCTAAACATGGTAAATTGTTTTCCTTGATTCTTCTATTATTTTATAATTAATTACGAATTTGAATAAAAATATTAAATTTTATTGTTTTCAAATTGATTAGGAATTTAATTTAGTAATACTTAGATAATTAAATAAGAATATTATGGTAATTTTTTCTTAAAAAATACTCAGTCATCAAATTTAGCGTATTGGGATCGGACAAGAAAATCCATCATCTTGATATTTTCATTTGGAGACGATTTCTAGACCTTTCGCTTTAGTTAGCAATTTATTCATCTTTTGAGTTAGAATTTTAATTAGGTTTTCAAGTTCTAAGTAGGAGATATAATTTTTTGATGATTTGATTGCTAACTAAGATTAGTATTCCTTAGGTTCTTCTGTTTATTTGCTAGAGTTGGTATCATCACCTGAATCTAGATTTTTAGTCTTATGTGCATCAATTATGTTCGAGCAATTTCTTCTACCCAAAAGAATTGATGCTAAATAGTGTTATAAACAAAATGGACATGTTTTAATGTGAATTTGAATCCATGGTTGCAAATGAGAATTTAGCAGTTGTGTTTTCTTATTTAGGGGTTAATTCTTTGATACAGAATTAGTTAGTTTAGTCATCGTGTTTCGTGTTACATAACCGCTATCAGTAGCCGCTAGTATAAGAGGGTCTCAAATGGGTAGAACTGTAAGTATTAGTAACCAACAAGTAGTCTCGGACCAGCATAACCAGTTTATTGGGCTACCTCCATCACAACCTCATTAAAAATTTCAAGGCCATAGTATGCCACTTTGAGGAACTAATACATCTTGTTGTGCAAGACAACTTATGCTATATGATTGGCTCAACGATAGAAGTGTTAGCCCCTGTGAGAAAGTGAATTCTCAAATTCCTTCAAGGTAGAATGCTTGGTTTGATAATGCCTAATTCAACTATCAACCATATACCAAAACCACGAATAAAACATGCAGGAATAAGTATTAGAGCCTCATAAGAAGCCCAAAAATAAGTCCAAGAAGAGTCTCATGAGAAATTCACAAGCTCATGTAATTAGGTTATCTAAGCAAGTAGTCTCTTATATATAAAGTCATGTAATGAGAACAATGTGATTAACCTAGAGAGTTGCCACATTAAGAGCAACTCTCCTCTTTACCATTTTATAAAGTCAAATCCAAATCTATTTTGTTCTTGAAGATAACCTAAAGTCTTTCCCTTTCCTTTACTTTGCATTTCAATAAAACTCATCGAGCTATTGCATTTTCAGTTTCATATTTCTCTTTCAATAAGCTCTTAATGAGCATGAATCTATCTTGTTTAGAAATGCTTTCAATAAGCTCTACAACAGCCATATCCAAAGAATCAGGGCATGTAATTCCTAACATGGGTTCCACTGTTAACAAAGAGAAGAAGATCAATAAATTTTCTAGGCAAGTCTATGAAATTCTTCTCGTCTTCTTTCTTTCCGAACTTTAACTTGCTAAAATTGGACCACTAATATGCTTTGCTAATTTTGTTATGGCCATCGATATCCAAAGAGCTATATAATAGCTGGATCCAAAGAATTAGCTCATGTGCATAATCCCAAAGATTCCAGTACATGTGCTTCAGATGCTCCATCCAATAAATTTGTAGTCAAATAGTTCAAAAACCTGGTTGCACCAAAACCCGGTTTTGCTTCTAACTCACTTTTCATTTTCTACAAAACAAAAAGTAACATATATCGAAACTACATCAACAATAGGAGTCTCATTTGTATTTGGCGGAACTATTGTGTCTCATGAGATTTACAGTATGTAGTTAGGCAAAGTCCAACCCCACAACAAGATTTATTGAGCCAACATCTTGAGTAGTCAATAGGGAACACAAGGAGGCGACAATAAAAACTTAAGAAAGAATCATGAGATGGGTTCCATCGTTAATAAAAAGAAAGATCAATTAATTTTCTAGGCAAGTCTTTGAAATTTCTCTCGTCTTCCTTTTTTTTTCAAAGTTTAACTTGCAAAAACTGGCCTATAGATATGCTTTGTTATTTTTGTTGTGGGCATCAGTAATCAAAGAGGTGACTGTTAATTGGTAAATCTCGATACCTTTCTCATTATATTACTCACAATATATATACAAGTCGGAATGTTCTCCAAGTAATGTCAATACATATAAGGGAAGTGAATAATATATATCCCTTGTCTATCACTCCCCCTCAGTCTTAGCATCGTTACAGATGATGTTGAGGCTGTGTCGAAAGTCATTAAACAGAGGTGTGGGAAGTCCCTTTGTAAATATATCAGCATATTGGAGGGAAAAAAGGACATGGAGAACACAAACGGTGCCAAGAGCAATGCGTTATCGGAAAAAGTGGAGATCGATCTCAACATGTTTTGTGTGTTGATGTTGGACTGAATTTGTGGAGAGGTAGACCGTACTAATGTTGTCACAGTAGACCAATGTAGCCTTTGATAAAGGACAATGTAGTTCAAGAAGAATGTTACGGAGCCATGTCGTTTTTTCTGCAACGGTGTTGGCAACACCTCTAAACTCTGTTTCGGTACTAGAACGTGATACAATGTGTTGGCGTTTGGCAGACCATGAGATTAGGTTGTTACCGTGGAAGATGCAGTAGCCAGAAGTGGAACGCCTAGTAGTTGGGCAGCCAGCCCAATCGGCATCTGAGTATGCGACTAAACCAGAAGAGGTTATTAGGTATAGTTGTAGGCCGTAGTCAAGAGTGCCCTTAACGTAGCGGAGGATACGTTTGAGTGCGTTGAAGTGAACCTCGCGTGGATCATGCATGAATAAGCAGACTTGTTGGACGGCAAATGAATTATCCGGCCTAGTGAAAGTTAAGTATTGGAGAGCTCCAGCAAAGCTACGGTAAAGTGTTGGGTTTTTTACTGAAGGTCCAACATCGGCTGCAATTTTAGCTCGTGTATCGGCTGGGGTGGAGCATGAATTGCATGTGTCATGTTAGCACGATGGAGAATAACAGCATCATAGTTTCGTTGATTTAAAAACAGGCCAGAAGTGTTCCTTTTGATATAGATGCCGAGAAAGTAGTGGAGTTCCCTGAGGTCTGTCATTTCGAATTCTTTGTTGAGTGATGAAATGATATCGTGAAGCAGTGTTGTTGAAGAAGCAGTGAGACCTATGTCGTCTACATACAAAAGGAGATAGGCGGTGCCATTTGCTCGATGATAGACGAATAGAGATGGATCAGATTTGCTCTCAAAACCAATTCAACTAGCATACTGAGCGAAATGTTGATTCCATGCTCTAGGGTAGTAGATAGAAAGTCGTAGTAAGCACACGTGGTCGGGTTTTGCTGGATCGCGGAATCCCGGTAATTGATGCATATACACAGTTTCTTCAAGAGTGCCATTGAGGAAGGCATTTTTTATTTCAAGTTGATGAATCGGCCATTGGCGAGAAAGAGAAATATCAAGAACAAGTCGAATTGTGGCTGGCTTCACGACCAGGCTGAAAGTCTCGTCGCAATCAACACCAATTTCTTGTGATTTTCTGTTTGCAACCAAACGTGCCTTATACCGAGATAGTTTCCATCTGCACCAAACTTACGCCTAAAAAGCAACATTGAACGAACAATATTAGTATTTTGGGGCCGTGGTACTAGATCCCACGTTCTCTTTTTAATTTGAGCTTCATATTCCTCATACATGGCCGCATTCCAGTTTGGATCCTCGAGAGCTTTTAGATGAGAGGAAGGGAGAGGAGAAATGATGGCAGTGTGAAGAGAAAGAAGCTGTTTAGATTTGGAAATACCACTTAGCTCGTGTCATCATAGGGTGACGAGCCGCAAGTGGAAGAGCAGCCACTTGTGGAGCCGTCGTGTGGACTGGTTCTTGAGGGCTTGGTGGCTGCGTAGGAATCATTGTTGGTGGATCGATTTGACGAAGTTGAGGAGAAACAGTCAAAGGCAAGTGGCTATCAAGAGTGACGGAGGGAGTTTCTTGATTAGTTATGGAGAAGGGAAAATTTGATTCATCAAAGGTAATATGACGATAAGTTATTACCTTACGTGTGGTGAGATCAAGGCAACGATATCCTTTATGATTGGATGGATATCCAAGGAATACACATGTTGTGGAGCGAGCAGCAAGTTTATGAGAGGCTACGGGAAAGTGAAAGTTTAATTGGGAAAGTGACTGGGTAAATATGCTATATAAAATTCTTAAAAATACTTTCCATTCTTTGTATCTCTTGTAAACTTGCATGTTTTCTTAGTGAATTCTGAACTTAAGTCTCGGCGAGATGTAGGAAGTGTCACATTGTTATTGTTGAAATCATAAGACTCTATGTGTCAAGCTCCCTTACTCACTCTTTTTCACGCAAAATTAGTTATGTTTCTTTTGAGTTTCATCACAGAGAGAGGGTCGTCTATCCATGAGTTGCACCTCCCCCAAAAATTAGCATGAGCCCCCTCTGTAGGTTTAGAATCTACCATGATTTATAAAAAAAAAAAAAAAGTTTCATCACTGAGTTTTGTTAATATTTGTTAAAGGCTCAAACTTTACAGATTCTTCGTTAGGGTTCAAGAAAGTCTAACCAGACTCAGCCCAACATAAACAAGGGCCCTTGGGCATAAGAAAAAAATTTTGGATTTATTTTAAGTTTTTTTTGGCTGTTTATGTATTTTTTTAGCAAAATAAATATATTTTTCAAAATTTAAAGTTTTTTTACTTTTAAAAACTAACATTTAAACTTTTTTGAATCAAACTTTTGGATTTAATATTTTTCCTAAAAAATTAGATCCCATTTATATGTATAAAAAAAATTATTTGGACCATTTTGTATGTATATTTTTAAAAAACTCAGATGGGCCTCTGGGCCATTGTCGCTCTGTCCACTCCTTTGGACCGGGCCTGAGTCTGACATGTTTGAGCTTATCAAATCTAACAACAATGATGGGTGTGGTAATTTGGTGAAGAGAAGCAAAACACAATGATGTATTAATATACATAAACTATTAGAACTCGAAAGCTCAGATGAACAAAAATCACAATTTAACAATAAAACATGATGAACTTGATCATAAAAAGTGTAATCTCTGTGATAAGTAGCACAACCAATGGAACATGGCAAACCAGAAGTTGATAATGGGTGGGGATAAGACCTATCTTAAGGAGTAGGAGTGCTTAAAGTATTTGCTCAAATTGTTTTCGAGAGAATTTCTTTCTCTAAAAGTTTAGAGAACTCCCTAAACCAAATAATTTTAAAACTTATATGAAAACGGAATGAAAACTCATTCAAATCACGATCAATTGCAAAATTATATAGAAACTCTCTATTCTTCGAATCTCTCAGAGTATGATGGTTATATTCATGTGTGTGGTTTCACTAATTAAACAAAGACACTTTGATTTTCACAAATAAAATAAACATATGCATCCAAAAAAAATTCACATCCCAAAATAAAATTTTAAAATTCAATTCTTTTTTCGAAAATTAAAATAAAATTATGCTTTCAGCGGTACATAAAATTACTTATAATTTCCATATATTAAAGTTAAATTGTGCATTGAACATATTTGAATTTTATAAAATTTATTAAAAAAAACATTGAATTCAAAATGATTTCTCTTTAAAATATATATTAAAAAATGCATGAATAGAATGAAATTTCTTCTTAAGAATACATTTCGATAAAATCAAAATATGTAAGGGGATGAACCTTATTATTTACAGTTCACAAAATTGATAAAGAAATTGATTGCAAACAACCAAAATCTAGAAGTAAATATCACACATAGACTTTTTGTTAACATGATAACACCCTATAAAACCTTTTTAGATTTTTTCTTTCTTTTATATATATAGGATAAGACCATTCATAAGTTGATAAATCCTCCCAGTACCAAATTTAGGTAACTAGTGATTCTGATGCACACGTATACTTTTTCTATACACATATTTAAATGGGAATCTAGCTAATGGAAGAAAAACAAAAGTAAAAATAAAAAATAAACAAAACGAGAAAGTAGACCAAAGTTACATGACAACTAGGAAACAAAAAGTTTTTTACAAATGGAAAGAAAACCGGATTTGTTTTGGTCGGTTAAGTTCCGGTTTAGTTCGGTTTAAACAAAGAAAAGTAAAATAAACGAGGGACGTGTGTATAGAAGAGGCAAAGGCTGAGAAACTTTTGGTTGGGACGTGGGACATAACAATTTGCTAAGTGACCCAAAAGAAACACCAAAACTCTTCTTCTTATTAAGCCAACTTGCTTCTTCATCAACATTACACATTACGTGTATTAATTAAAAAAAATTCACACATTAAACTATATAATATATTATCTTTTGTCGTTGTTATTCGTTGATTTAGGCTTTAGCTATTCAATTCTGTCTTTGGAAACTGTTCTTATGACTGACCTTTTTTAACCTTTCTTTTCTTTTTTATTCAATTTCCTTTGTTTGGGTTATATGGTAAATTACACATTGCCGTCTCGTCCTAATAATCCTCTTTTCTGTTCCCATTTGTGTTGTTGTGCTTTTGCTTCCTTCCTTTTTCCTCATTCTCTCTTCTTCTTCCTTTCTCCTCCACAAAGCGGTAGGTTTCTCTCTTCCTCAATCGGTGAGTCTTTTTGATTAAGAATCTTCATAAAGTTTTGATTTTTATTCATCTTTAAGGTTCTTAGATCGATTTATGTTCTGTATCTGTTTGGTTTGGTTTTTGATTGTTGTGTCTTTTTTGGGTTCTGTTGGGTTTTCAAAGCTCGATCGAAATATATGAGAATCGGTTGGTGGGTTTTTGAAAAATTAGTTTTTTTTTTTTTGAAATTCTGTAGGATTGTTGTTGCGGTGAATCGATTGTTCATCGAGAAGGTAAAAAATAAGTTTTTTGTTAATGGGTTTTAGATGTTTGAATCGGATCTTTACTTGTATGAACTTGTTTTTGTTTTGTTTTGTAAGAAAGTTTGATTCTTTTGAGGTTTTTGAATTGTTTTATGTGATGATGCTTTATCTTCAAGCTGTGGATTTCTTTTCTCTTTGCTTTTTACCTTGCTGTTTCAATATCTTTGCTTGTTTTTGAGGATTTGTGAAACTTAATATGTTGTTGCATCTATGGTTAGTTAATATGTCATTGATGAAGGCAGTGATTATTTTGATATTCTCTTGGTTTTTTGAATTGCCATTGTGGTGGTAGTTGAGTAAAATGTTTTCACTCTTTTCCTCAACTATATTGGTTTAGTTTTGTTTCGAAATTGGCATGCTTGTTGCGTGGTCCTAGCTTTTATTTGTACCTCATTTTCATTGACGCTTAGTTTCGAAGTTGGCTGTTAGGTGTCAATTTGATAATTTAGACTTCAATTTATTTTTTGTGTTTAGAATGGTAGATCATATGAATTTGATTTCGCAGCCTGTTACTGTTTAAGCTTGTTAATAACTCATGTATGCGTAGTACTAATTGTAGCGGTCTTGCTTTAAGTGAGCTTTTGCGCCTTGTGCTCTTCTAGGTGAAGCAGATTATATGACTGTATATGCAATCTCAGGGTGCCATTTATTATTACAATTGTAGAAGTTATGCTTTGATTGAGTGTGTTTTTTTTTTTCCGTATATAAGCCTTTCCTTGTCTTTGTTCCTGAAAGATCTTCTGTATTTGTTCTTTTGCAGTCTCCCCACTAGGCACATTGTTGAGAGCAGAGAAAGTCTCGTGAGTTCTCTTCTCCTGAGTGTAACTGTGGTTAAAGCTTTAGCCAAGATGCAGGGGGAGAGGGCCAGTCTTGGCTATTTATCAGAAGCCTTGAACTTTGAGCATGGTTCTTCTTCGAGTAATGGTGTGATAGATCATTGGGAGAATATTCACAGTCTTGGTGATAATGACTTGCAGGATTACATGATTGCAAATTCTGAATCAAATACTTCGCTTGCAAACTCAGTTTATTGCGAGCAACAGGGTTTACGCAGATTTAGCCTCGGTGAGGCTAGCTCTAGTGGCACGAAGGATGAAGCTTCCAGTCACAATGAGCAACGAATGGAAACTAGATGCTTTGACGGACGGAGAAATGAAATAATTGATTTAGACCCAGTGTTTGCGCAGCCATCCGGCACAAATCAACCTGTTCAGAATGTCAATCTGAATGCGGAATATATAGAAATTCACGAGGATATTAATACATATAGGGGTCGGTCTGGCTTCTTAGAAGCTAATGGACCAGGGACCAGGGTTTCACAACCTGGCCGATCTTTTGAAGAGACCAGTGTTGGAACAGGTTCTTCTGTAGAGGGACGACGTGCATCCTGCAAGAGAAAAGCTCTTGAAGGCAGTATTGGTCAATCTTCTTCAGGAGGTTATCGTGATTTCCAGCGTGGAGAAAGCAGTTCATGGACCCCAGGTTCTACGGTTTATAGGCCAGGAAATGGTTTAAACATATCTAGCTCCCTTGACAATGGACCAAGAGGACTGGTCTCCGGTACCGTACCAAATTTTCCTGTTTCTGCCATTGCAGAGAGCTCCAGTAGAAATATATGCGTCAGGAGTAATCCCTCAGATCATCAAGAAACTGTAAACCCAGCTACCTTTTCTGCGGGAACTGTTGTCAGGCGACCTGTCCCTCCATCCCAGTTGAACTTATCAAGAGTCTTACCAGCAGATCATCATTCATTGGACTTGAGACCTGGACAGTCTTTTGTCTTTTCTCGTACCCCAAATGCTACTGCTGTGAGCATACCACCTGTTTCAAGGACTATGCTACCACCATTTCAGTGGACTGAGGGATCACTAGCGGGTGGAACATCGAACTCTACTGCGCCCGTTGAGAGAAATCTTCATCTAGATGAAACCAGGTCAAGAAGCATACCTGGGAATACTTTAGAGATTCCCATGTTTGCAGCTCCTGAACTCGGAAATTTTGCCCGTAGTCAGAGTAGCAGAAATGTGACAAATGGAAACCTGAATATTGCATCATCAGTGTCCAGGACAGGCTCAACAACAAGTGTTCCACCACCACCATCTTCTAATCTAGCGTGGACTTCTTACCAGAATTCACCACATTATCAAAGAAGAAGGACTGAGAGGTCTGAACTTGTTCGTAGGTCCTTGCTTTCATCCCTTGCAGGAGATGCTACAAACCAGAGATCAAGTGATCATCCTACTCTTCGTTCGGTGGCCCCTCCTGCCTCTTCGGATGGGCTTGTGCTTCAGCCTGGTGGTGATAATAGTCAGATGCATAATCGGGCTTACTCGAGAGCAGGTCCGTGGTTTGATAGGCAAGGGGATAGTGTGGTTGGTATTCCTCATTCTTTGCGGGCCTTGGCAGCTGCAAGCAGAGGAAGAAGCAGACTTATGGTGTCCCAGGTCAGTTGATACAAATTCTATTGGCATGAAGCCTTTAACAGTGGATGGTTTTGGTTAACTTTGGCTCATTCAGTTGCGTATAAATACCTTTTGTTTGTTCTCGAGCAGTCACTCAAATAGAACTAACAATACGCTTCTCTTTTGGACAGATGCAGAATGTCTTGGATGTCATGCGTAGGGAGGGTAATAATAACTTGCGGCTTGAGGTTAGTTTTTCCTGACTATAGCAAAATTATCTGAATTCAAACTTGTCTTGTGTCTCTCTCTGTTGATTTCTAGCTGAACTAGCCTAATAACCGGAACATAAATAATCTGGATGGTTGTTTTTCCAGGACGTTATGCTTCTAAATCAGTCAGTTTTGTTTGATGGGGCTGCTGGTATTCATGACCGGTATAGAGACATGCGGCTTGATGTGGACAACATGTCATATGAGGTAAATTAAAAACCATAGTGAACCATAAAATCTTTACCGGGTCATGTTAAATCATAAAAACCTCACTCCTTTGGTTCAAAAACTGTAGGAATTGTTGGCACTAGAAGAGCGGATTGGAGATGTATGTACCGGTGTAAACGAGGAAACCATATCAAACCGGTTAAAGCAACGAAAATACAAAAGCAACACAAAATCTCCACAAGATACAGAGCCATGCTGTATTTGTCAGGTAAAAATATACAAGTTGCAGAAATAACAATATGAAAGTATTAAAATTTGTTCGGTCCGAGTATTAATGGTGAAAACTTGGCGCAGGAGGAATACAATGAAGGAGAAGACATGGGGACACTAGAATGTGGGCACGAATTCCATAGCCATTGCATAAAAGAATGGCTGAAACAGAAGAATCTTTGTCCAATCTGCAAGACCACAGGATTGAACACCGCGAAGAAGCGGAGGATAGGATGATGATTTCTCAAAAGAGCTTTTTTTTTTTTAACAATTCATTTTATAATCAAAAATGAAAGAAACAGAAGACACCCTCAAGCCCCCACCATTGCAGAGCCAGGCAAGTTTGTCCCCATTTTTTTTTTTTTTTTAAATAGAATTTGTTCGTATTTATAATCTGAGTATGAAAGATGGAAAGATTTGGATTGAAGGGAAAGATAAAGGGTGGTAGGGAAATGTTGTTTTTTCTTTTATGGATTTGTTTGGATAATTTAATTTTACCATTGTCAATTATGTTTATGAATCCTTTGAAAGAAGCAGAAAGTTGAATCAGCCGATTTTGAGATTATACTTTACTTTGAAAGCCCATATATTGCTTTGAGTTACTTGCTTTTGTTACTCTTAGTTTGCTCCAATTGGTTACAAAAGTTTTAGGATGCAAATTGTTGCAATTTTAGAGAAACAAAATCTAGGTGAGTATGTGCAAATGGTTGTCCCTTAAGACTTAAGAGTAATAAGGTGAACAAGTTGGAGTAAAAATTAGTTGGTAAAGTAGTTGTTAGAATAATAAAAAAATAAAAAAAGGAATGAGATAAATAGATTGAGAGAAATATGTAGTGTTTAAGTTGTTAATCTACCCAACAAAAAAAGCTTGTTAATCTTACTATTTTGAGGATGAATACTTTTCATAGGTTTTTTTTAGCCCTCCTTGTTAAGCTAGTATGTTGGTAATGAAAGAAAATATATTTTATGGTAAATAGTAAAATTGTAGAGGAATGCAGAGGAATATACTATTATTTTTCTTGATTTTGTTACTCTAAACTAGCCTAAGGAGAACAAATCAAAAATCAAAATCTATTTGAAAATTAATCTTCCTAGAAAGTAGAAATAGTAGAGAAACAAGTTGAACCAATTATTTCTTTCAATTTTTGTATTTGTTTTTGTCAAACTAGATTTTCATAACTTAGAAGTTAACCTCTAGTATACAACAAGGCTAGGAAGAGTCGAATTTACAAAAGCAATGACCAACATATTGGAAATTGCCAAAGCGACAACCAACGGATGATGGAATATCTCAATCATGTCCAAAGTCAAAAGGTAAAAAATAAAGAAATTTAGGTTAGTCTGAAGATTACTAAGAGATATTATTGATGTCAACCCATTATATTTGAGGGTATATATCGATTTAAGTAACCGATCCTAGAGGATCTACGAACCTCAATCTTGTCAAAAGCTAAAGCAGAAAACCAAAGAAATCGAGGTTCGTATGCAAATCATGAAGAGCAATGGTTGATAGTAACCCCTTCCTTTCGAGGGCACATGTCAACTTAACTAAATGATCCCGAAAGATCTACGGACCTCAATCTTGTCCAGAGTTAAGGCAGAAAAATAAAAAAAATTGAGCCTAGTTTGCAAATCAATAAGAGCAAATGTTGATGACGACCCATTATTTTTGAGGTTTTTGAGGGCATATATGTCGACTTAAGTAGAGAAAAGTGTTGTCCATTTTTGGTTTGCACTGAAGCTAAATAGGAACAAAGGTTTTAGTAGATTTTGAATGCCTTTTGACATGAATGTTTAGTTAAAATATGGTATTTACGAGATTTTTTTTCTGCTAATCATCAAAGATCTTCTTCGTGCGAATGTTCAAAGCAAAAGTATGTAGCAACTGAAACAAAATATATCCTAAAAATTGATAATTTCTTTTGATTCATACTTAGCTAGTGGGTCTTTCCTAAATTTTGATTTTTTCCATCTAGTAAATACGTATTTTATACTAAAATCAAGTTCGTTTGTTTGAAATTCAAAGCATAGTCTCATGGCACAATATTGAATATATTAGTCTAAAACCAGAATCAAATCATTCAAAACTTTTGATAAGAAAAAAGTAACCTAGAAGTAAACTAAAATTGAATCCCTCAAAATAGCAAAAAGCAAACCTTATAAACTGAAATCAATGGATGCAATATGCCAATATCGGAATTTCAGAATTTGTATTAAAGAACAAAAAAACTACCTCATCTAAAATCATAAACATATCTAACTCTTCAAGTTGAATCCGATTCACTCTTTCTCCAACCACTAAAATCCTCTACTTGCAAACCCAAATTTCCTCTTGTGATTTCATTTATTTGATAGTTTAAACACGTGGAGAATTAAGAAAAAGTTTACAAAACTAGACAGAGTTTCTGTTTTAGCACGTGGTCAAACTTAATTCTTTGGTCTTAAACGGAGTTTATACAATTTGGTAAAAGTAATGTCGCACAATGAAATGGTTACTTTACTTATAAATGTCTTCAAGTTATTAAGTTGGGTTAAGGTTTTAGTGTTTTAATGTAGAAAAAAAAAAAAAAAAACAAATTATGAAAACCCTCTTAAAATTGGTGGATTTTACGTGATTTCCACTTGAAAAAAAGTCTAATAAAAGTTTAATTTACGTGATTTTATTAATTAAAATTAAGACAATATAGGTTTTTAATACCTCTAAGATTTGTCAAATCATATTCTTCTCAAGCCTACCATACAACCCATGTGTGAATAATATTGACTTGTGGATATACACCAACCTTCTTGATATGACCATCGTAATCATAATTTAAATATATAATAAACAAATCCAAAGCATAGACTCTTGGCGCAATATGCATATTAAGTACACAAAGGTAACGTGACTTACCTTACAAAACAACTCTTCCATGTTTTGAAGCTTAATTAACGTTGACAATTAAACCACAAACCCAAAAAATGTCTAGAACCAAAAACTACTTTGTGTTGGATCCGAGAGAAGCTACCGTCTCGGATCTCATACATCTTCTCTTCTCATCGGATATCGGGAATAGAAAGTTCATCCATTCTTCGGAAGAGAGGCTTGAGGATGATCTTTCAAGATTCCGGCGACGGTGGATCATCTTTGTATCCATTGTTATTCAAAAACTCATGATTCTCCTTAAGAAACCTCTTTATTTTCTTGGATTTTGTCTTGCTTTTTGGCTCAACCTTCTTTCTTCTAATGGTGGTTTCTTAATGATACTCCCAAATCTTTTCCAAGGTAAGATTTTCTTTTAAGAGTTTTTTTTCTTCTTCTTTTGTTTAGAAGTTAGAGCTAATGGGTCTACGTTCGGTTAATTACACTAAAGGTAATATTCAACGTTAAAAACATTATAATTTCTTCATTTCTAAATCCCAAACTGAAACAATGAGGATAATAGATATATAATTGATTGTTAATACAAATTATACTTCACAAAAGATTATGCATCACTAAGGTATTAAGTTAATCCAAAGGGGGTTTTCTTCTTTATCATAATCTTCTAATTAATTGAATTTTGAAACCAAATTTTGAGAGATGACCTACAATAAAACTCGATTGGTGACACCAATATTATTACCTTAATTTTAGAATTTTTTTGGTGAGGTAGACCCTAAGTTTTAACAAATATATTATTTTGTAATTATTTTAGGAAAGATTATTTGGCCGGAAAAAACATCGGCGACATTTGCATCACTAAACGGAAACCTAGACCGGCGAGTAGAGCTAGACCAGAAGGTAGAGAGGGGAAGTAAAAGATACAAAGCAATGTTGTCAATTATGGCTTCTAAGCTGTCTTACGAGAATATAAACTTTGTCTGCTCCGTTCTTCACAACCATTGGAAGGTTTTATTCTTTAACTCTTTCCTTTTGATTGACTACTTTTCGAGAATTGTTTTCTTTCACAACTCTCGCTATATATACAAATAGAGTAATAAAACGAAATATTCCGAGTCGATTAATGACTAATCCCCTAAAGAAATCAGTTATCCGATTACTCTCCGCCTAATCCGATTACTTCTCGCCTAATCCGATTACTCCCCGCCTAATTTTACATATCCCGATTATTTTTATATTGCAAGTATAAAAAAAACTTTTTATTTTTGTTATTCAATCATTTAAATTGGGAGTTTCTGATGTTTGACAATAACTTATGTTCAAATTTTAATAAAAACAATAAATTTGTAATAAAACTCATAAAAATTTATCTCAAAATACAGTTTTATGTGTTTACCAGCAATAAAAATATTAAAATAACCCTAAAACTAATCTCCGATTAATCTCCGATTAATCTCCGATTTTAATCCGATTTTCCGATTAATCGCTAGGCCCATACCGAGTGCCCGACTAACGCCTAGCGATTTTTCAAACAAGGCTTTTACTTCACCAATCATATTTTAAAAGAAAAAATCAATATATTGCTGCTGGAAGGAAAAATATATATTTCTGCTGTAAGAAAATATATATCAAGACAATATTTTCGGTTTAATCTGAATTTCTTTTTTCTCTCCATATGTTTACTCTACTATACATACTAGTCACAACAAATATAGGATCATTTCCCTATTAAATGAAAAATGATATTTTTTTGTTGTCAATAATTAATATGTTTGAATTCGGATGATTTTGACAAATGACACATTAATAATACTAGCACAAACTACTAAACTTGTATGTCATGGTATATTATTTTAGATTTAAAAATTATCAGAATCAAATTTAGCGATTACTACACTAAAACAAATTTCTAAAGTTTTTTTCTTTTCTAAATAACATATTTTCTACAGTTTTATTTTGTTTTTCTTAGTAAAGTAAAAAGGGAACATTTTCTTCGCGTAAAGTTTCATATAAAAATACGACAACTAATGCAGACTCTTATTTAGCTGTATCTTTTTCGTCGAATTATTTAACTTATCTTCTAAACATGATCATGCATGATTTCCATTGATTATTAAAATCGAGTTATTTATGAAATAATTGTATGTTGGACTTACAATACCTATATTTTTATTATATTTTGGCACAGATGGACTTATTAGGTTTCTACAGCTGTTGGAATGGTGAGACTACTTCCATTTTTTATGTTATTGATGAATAATTAACTTAATTGGTCCAAAGTAGGCAAATACCACGTGAAATGTGCAACATATTATTTTTCCTTACCAAAATGAATTTGATTCCAATAATATAATACTCAAATCAATGATATCCCAAATATATTTACATATTTTCTTTCATTTCAATTGCGCTTATATTCATCACTGTAGGAATTGGGTTTGAGATTTTAAAATAAATTTTTAAGAAGATTGAATTCTCTTCTTTTTGCTAACTATAATTTTTTTAATCAAATTTCAAATTAAGACACACATTTTCACTAAGAAGTTTTTTAAAGATTTCTTAGTTTATATGATTTTAAATTGTATTAAATAAATAAATGATGTATGAAAAAACTATATTTTTTTTATTTTGTTGTATTTTTTTTAATTATTACTAGGACTCAGGACCCCCGCGATGTCGCGGGGGAATATATTTCAAAAATCATTTAAAAAAATATCAAACAAAAAAATCATAATGAATTGTAATAATTTTGAATTTTTTTAATAACAAGTCAATATATATTTTACAAAAATTATGATAAAGAAAACCCTCACAAGCATTTATTAAGTATATTAATATTAGAAAAACAATAATTTGTAACTAAAAAACTATTCCCAAGTGCAAAAAGCATAAACTAATAAACCAAATATTACAATGGTTTGATAAATAAGCCAAAACGTTCAACGTCAAATAAACCAAATGCTATTGTGTTAAATTAAACGGTAACAACAATTTATTTAAATATATTTTAGTATTTAAATATTTTTTAAAAATATGACGAACTTATCCGAGAAACGCAACCGTAGATATCAAATATTCCAAAAACTGCAACGGTTCGTCAATTATACCAAATGTTGCAATAGTTCATCAAATATACTAAAGATAACAATGGTTCGTAACACAAAACCAAAAGTTGCAATAATTCGTCAAATAATCCAAATGTTGAAACAGTTCAATTAAATAGTTACAATCTCATTTAAATACATTTTAGTAATTAAAAATTAAGAATTAAAATAATAATTTATGAAAAGTTACACCGAGACGCAGCGGTAGATAATTAAATGTTATAACTCTTTATAAAATAAACCTAAAATTGCAATTGTTCGTGAAATAAACTAAATATATAAACCAAAGGTTGCAATTGTTTGTAAAATAAACTAAATATTGCCATGATTCGAATAAGCGGTTTCAACTGTTTATGAAGAGTTACAATAAAAAACGCAACCGTAGAAAACATTCAGAATGAAATTTATATAAAAAAAACATAACCGTCAAATATATATTTTAATTAATAAAAACATTAACGAAAAGTTGCGATAAAAAGACGCAACCGTTCAGATGTGCAAATGGTATTTATTAGATTGCTATTATATATAGATTTGAGAATTTTTGTTGTATTTCTTAGGTTACCAGAAACAAAGGTCAACAGAAGTGATTGTTATAAAAGACACAAGCACAGATCCAAACCTCATTATTGTTAGTTTCAGAGGCACTGATCCTTTCGATGCCGATGATTGGTGTACAGACTTGGATCTCTCCTGGTACAATAATTTGATTTCTATTGTTTTTATTTGATTTAAGTTCATAGTTTAGTTTCCTTGATAAAACTACTATATTAATTTCCAAAACAGGTACGAGGTTAAGAATGTGGGAAAGATCCATGGCGGATTCATGAAAGCTTTAGGGCTTCAAAAAGAAGGATGGCCAAAAGAAGTAAACTATGACCAAACCCAAAACGAAACAACTCTATATGCATACTACACTGTTAGGCGTCACTTAAAAGAAATTCTCGAACAAAACCCGACGTCCAAATTTATATTGACCGGACATAGCCTAGGTGGGGCTTTAGCAATTCTATTCACGGCTGTTTTGGTGATGCATGATGAGGAGCAAATGCTAGAGAGGCTAGAAGGAGTTTACACATTTGGACAGCCACGCGTAGGCGACGAGGAGTTTGGAAAGTTCATGAAAGATTCGTTGAAAAAGTTTGACGTGAAGTACGAAAGATATGTTTATTGCAACGACATGGTTCCTAGGTTGCCTTTCGACGACAAAACACTAATGTTCAAACACTTTGGGGCATGCCTTTACTATGACAGTTTCTACAAAGGAAAGGTTGGTTACATATTACAATTGTAATATGAGAATGTACTTCTATTTATCCACTTACCCTACTGATGATATCTATCTACATTGTTGTTGTTTGATATTATGTTCAGGTAGAGGAAGAAGAGCCAAACAAAAACTACTTTAATCTCTTATGGGTTACACCAAAGATAATGAATGCAATGTGGGAGTTGATACGTAGTTTCGTCATACCTTATTGGAAAGGTGGAGAGTTTAGAGAAGGATGGTTCTTGAGGTGTTTTAGGGTTGTTGCATTGTTGATCCCGGGATTACCTGCTCACTTTCCTAATGAGTACATCAATGTTACTCTTTTGGGTGACTTACCTGACTCGCATCTTGATTAAATTTTGACGAAGTCAGTTCCAAATTCTTTTGAATAGTTGATGTGTTTCAGATTCTTTTAGAAGACTTTAAATGTTTGAGAATGTTTAATTTAGAATATCTCTCATTGACTATGTTTTAGAGAGTTGTAAAAAATATAAAAAGATGTATAAAAATAAAAATTAGATAATCATTTTTTACTGTTGGACATGGGTTGTGTCTCTTACAAACTCCGGTCCGAATCGAGTTTGGATCTAGAAGAAAGAAAAGTGGACTCGGCCCATTTAATCAGGTTTAGACCCAATAGCACCACTAATTTGTAATCGATAAAAAGGAGAATTCACACCGGTTGGTGACCGATTGTCTCTCCTGTAAAAGCGAGAAAAAATCAAAGTTCAAAAAAGTGGGTTAAGCGGTCTTCTAGGCATCGCCTAAACGCTAGGCGTTTTTATACCGCTTCGATTTTCATAAAATCAATATTATAGACGGTGGGGTAGATTTGGCAGACTATGCAGACATTAAGCAGACTATACGGCTATTAAACGGGTTTGGGTGGGATAGACGGATTTAAATATGTTTTAATAGCTCTGAAGTTTTAAGAAAAATATTTAAAATTGTGTTTAAAGACACCTATATATTTCTTATTTTATTTTATTTTACTTTAAAATGTTAAATTTAAACTCATTTTTAAAAAATTTCACAATTTTAAGTTTTTATGATGTTTTTTCAACATTTCATGTAATATTATATAAATACATATTGTTTTATATATATTTAAGTTGACACATAAACAGAAATCACATGTCATCTCGCTCGTAGAAATTCGATTTTTAAGCTCGTCTACCAAACTACTTTTAATCATTAATACTTTATTCGAATCTTTCCACTTTGTTCGAACATCATAGCTCGTCGCTTAGTCAGCTTGGCGTTGTTGATCGTCCCTTGTCAACGCCTAACCCAATTTGTTTAATAATAGATTCTTCGTTCTTTCCTCAAAATACTTAGACCATGTACATGTGTGATACTTTTACAGTATCAGAAGCCCATAAATTAATTTTTAATGGAGCAAACAATTAAAATGGGTCTGATCCGTATCAGCCCAGTGATACTTTTGATACTGGGTATCAAGTGATGTGTCACTTTCTGATTTGTTGCGTTTTGCCGAAAGAAGGAGAAAAAAAAAAAATCATTTTGCCGTCCTTCGTTCCTTCTGCTTCTCCTCCGACTTCATCTCTTCGATCCATCTCTCCTTGGCCGTGAAGTTCCCTTTCTTCACTCCCTTAACTTCAAAACCTTTCTTCAAACCCATCAAAGTCTCCGTCTCCGTCTCCGTTCAAACTCCTCCGTGCCTAGGATTATAGAGATTAGAGGCGATGTTATAAAAAACCTCAATCAAAATAATTTAGTTTTAAAAAAAAAAAATATGTGAGACCAAAGCGGGTTAAAAGTCCTCTTATAAATGAGAGATCAATTTAAAGGTGCATGTTAACCATATTTTTTGGAAGGATTTAGGATTATCCCCGAAACTAAACTCTACCTAGATATATAAACTAAAGTTTATAAACTACTAATCATCATCTTTCCAAAAAAAATTGAGTAAGAAAACCCAAAATGTAGTTATAGTCTCTTTTATAAGTTATAATTTTTTTTAATTTTTTTGAAAAAAATATAAGTTATAATTTAGTTTGTAAATCATAACTCATAATCTATACTAGTATTTTTGCAGTCACTTTTGAGTCGGGTGGGTAAAATTGTTCTCACATACTTTGGATATCCGACCCGTTTACAAATTTTGGTCATAAAAAGTTTGTTGGATCGGGTTATATTTAACCCAACTCATACACCGGATATTCCATATTTAATAATTTAGATATTTAGAAGATTTGATTAAGAATTAGAATTATGATTCTCCTATCATCTTTGTTCAATTTGTTTTTAACTGTTTTGAATCATCATATAATACATAAGTAAAAAAAAAATCAATTTTTTTTTCTGCATATATTGTGATTCGAAATTTTAAAAACGGACATATATTATCCGATTGACGAAAATGTGTGTTCAACGTTCTACATCGATTAAAATATTTAGACAATGATTCAGAATCATATCATAAATAAGATCAACATTAATAAAATAAATGAGTTTTTTGGTCGGACGGGTTTGGCGGGACAGATTTTTGAATCAACAATAATAAAAAAATTAAAATATCGTTAATCCGCAGCTTCAATACGGATTAAATTCTTTTTTTTTTTTAATACCATATATATTAGACATATTAAATCAGTCTCATTTAGAAAAGATTGTATAAAACCAAAAATTGTCTCGTGGTATAATGTTACTTAATAACAATTGTAAACTATAAAATATTAATATATTAGAAAATGATACAATTTGCAAACTTTTATATATAATAAATAATCATTAAATTTTAAAAATTACTACTTTTAGAAAACAAATCACGGGACGGGTTAAGAAGTTACAGGGTGGGCTATATTTTGGAACGAAGTTATATGGTGGACGAGTTTGAATCAATATTTTAAAATTTTAAAATATCATTAACATGCCGCTTTAGTACAGATTAAATCTTCAGTTTATTAAAATATAAATGTCTTAAAGAATGATATGATTTGTAAACTTTTATATATAATAAATAATCATTAAATTTTAAAATAAAAACAAATCACGGGACGGGTTAAGAAATTACGGAACGGATTATATTTCGGAACGAGTTTATATGGCGGAAGAATTTGAATCAATATTTATAAATATCATTACCATGCCGCTTTAATACAGGTTAAATCCTCAGTTTATTAACAATTGTCTCGTGGACTCGTGGTATACCTTTACTTAATAACAATTGTAAACTATAATATAAATAAATATTTTATAAGAAGATATAATTTACAAATATTTTTATACTAACTTTAAAAATAAATCATCCCGCGATACACCGCGGGTTAAAATCTAGTTACTAATTTAAAACATAGTCTCATTTTCTTTGTTTTTGTTTTATCAAACCTTGTGTTAATAAACAAAAAGCACTAAACCACTATGAAAGCAAAAGTTAGAGGCTTAGTTGATTTTTTAAAAAAATGGCGTAGGCCAATGTTTCTATTTTCCTTCATAGCCACGGGCCTGGGTGTGACCCAAGCATTAACATTTACTGTTAGATCGGATTACTCCTTATCATCTATTTTGGAGGTTATTTTGTATATAAAATGTTACATCTCTCATTTATAATCAAGCAAGCAACTAAGCATTGGTATTTTAAGTAACATATATTTTTTTCATTTTTTATTGGTAACCATGTATGAGTTTTATCACCTGTTCTAAAAATTGGCCGTCTAGGTGCTGATCGGAGGGGAACCGCGGCGACTTTATCCAAGTCGGTAAGAAAAATTGCCGGTCTAATTTTTTGGCCGCCTAGACTGTCTAGACGGCGCCTAGCCCAATTTTTTTTTTACTTCTTGTTTCCTGGATCTAAAATTGAAAACGTCTTATTTATGTTCGTAATTTATATAAGAATCATAAATTTGAGCTTAAAATCTTGTTTTCATGTGTTTAATGCAATTTTAAAAACAATCTTATAGAAATTTCTTAATTATAATAGATTAATATGTTTTTAAATCAAATAGCCCTAAAACTAATCCCCGATTAATCTCCGTTTAATCTTCGATTTTCTTGCTAGGCACACCCTCACCGTCCGACTAGCGCCTAGCGATTTTTTGAACACGGATTCTATCACTTCAATAACTACCAATCATAAACACGATATAACAAAAAACACTCTAAAATTCTTTATACAGTTGTTCTTTACCGTTTATATTTTTTTTTTGTTTTTCACTGAAAGATTTTCATTTTATAATACAAGAGAGGAATTGTAACGCCCCGACCACCCCTACCAGTGAGCACCCACATCCTCTCTCAGGCCCGTGGGCCCCACGCCTGTCCGTCGGTCGGTCCGCTATGTCCGGGGAGGCTTTAAATTACTTGTTTACCGATCTTACAAATCACCACATAATATTTCCCTGTGTTTTGTCCTCACTCACACAATTCCGACAATCACTTCCCGGAAAGTCACATATCTTGAAACTGTTCTAGCTCAAGCACCTTTAACTGTGGAGTTCTCTCAGGACAGTTGACCGTAAAGATAAGTGCACTTTGGTGACATAAGTGGCAAAATCAATTCTTTTAAACCTCTCTGCATGCATCATCATAATCCTAAAACCGGGGTGTTACAGAAATACAAGGGTGGAATACGTTTTTGGGATGCGTTTTCGAAATTATATTGGTATCATTTATCGTTTATCGTTTATCTTTTTTTTTTGTTAAAAAACTTTTAGGGTTTTGTATCACTAATAAGATCCAAAGTTATTAAGTAGAATTTTCTTTTTCTTGTTTTTCACATAAAATTTTTGATATCAAAACCTTAATTATAAAGTATGTATACAGAATTTTCAACAAATAAAAAAATATTACATAATCTCTTTTACATAATTATTATCCCATTTTCCCTATCATGGAAGTAGATTTTTCTTTGTAATTAAAAGTATTTTACTCAAAAATCATAAATAGACAAAAAAAAGAAAGAGAAAAATCATAAAACCTGTCAGAAGTAAGGGAGCCTGACTGGAGAAAGCGAACAATGGAGGACGGCGAAATAGAGGAAGGAATGGTAACTGCCGACGAATTCCCTACGCCGGAAGTAACCACCGAGACTACACAACCACCGCAAGAACCGGGTAAATCACCACTCGAGCTACTTCGAGAAAGCAAAACCTCCGTAGAAGAAATCGTTACAAAGATGCTCTCAATGAAAAAACAAGGAAATCAAAAATCCGAGATTCGAGAACTCCTCACACAAATGTTCCTCAACTTCGTCAATCTTCGTCAGGTTCTTCTCTACCAAATCTTTAACCTCTTAAGGTTCTTTCTCTGAATACGAAACTTATTAGGGTTTGATTCAAATTTCGCAGGCGAATCGTGCGATTTTGACTGAGGAAGATAAAGTGAAAGCGGAGACGGAACGAGCAAAGGCACCGGTTGATTTCACGAC